AGCAGAAAATGGTAGAGATTTGCCACGTGAGTTTAGGCTGCGGCATTTACTCAACATTCAGCACAGATCTCCCCTCTGTAATGCGCACATATGCCCTGAGCAGGACACCAAAACCACTGCCTTTCTTTGCTGCCATTATTCGCTTGCTTAATTTGAGCATTCGGCAACTGCTAAATCCTCCCTCCCCAGGCAGGCAATTGGTCTCAACTCCCATATTCCTCATCCATTAGATAAGGGAGTTACAAACCTTGGTAAAATCCCTATAAATTAAAAGACTATGATTAACAGAGCCTAGATCCCTGGGCTGGTGTGGAATGGAAACAGGAGATTGATTTGTAATAACAGGGTTCAGGGCTGTGGTGGTTTAGTGAAAATGAAAGGTGGCCTTGGAGACATGAATGAGCTTAAGCTCCCATTTCCTTTGCACTTGAATGGAATCATAAATGTATGAAAAGCTGAAAACTGCTAAAGTTTTCATCCAGCTATAAAGGTTTAATTCAACAACCCCCCCCCACAAGGGGAGTTTGCAAGAGGGAGATTCCCTGCATCCATCCAGACTGCCCCTGCTGATGAAAACTGGAGAGGGAGATGAAGCGGAAACAAGCGCCTGTTTTCCTGGGGCGGGAGTGGGGAATAATCACCCTCAGACCAATCTGTGCAAGGCAACCTGCACTCTGTCCACAGATTTCATTTGGGGCCTTTGTTAACAAGCTCCTCATCATTACACATGAGAAACTCCACCGGTGCTTGGAGGAGAGTAGTCAGGCTGTCAGCAGGACACCTGCCTTATGGACATATGGTAGGTTTCTCCCAACAAAGACACAAAATAAAACTGAGCTGAGAATAGAGAACACACTCGCAGACCTTCGCAGCCCTGAGATTACGGTGCCCGCAGTTGCAGGAGCAGCAGAAGTGTAAATAAAAATGAGTATCCTTCTTTCCACTCAGTTCAGTTTTTACTAACTCAAGGGGACATGCTTTAATCAATCCATGCAGAAACTAGAAGAAGCAGGGGCTGCGTTTGTGATGTAGGAAAGCCGAAGTGTCCAAACGCCTACAGTTGCCCTAAAAATGAGCGAGTGAAAGCGTGGCTTGGACTAAACGTGACTGCTGTGCGATAGACAAAGGGAACATAGTCCAGCTTCTGGTTTAGTGGGCAGGGAAACCCTCCTTCCCCCACTCCAAAATCATTGGCACAGAACAAGGGCTCAGAGATTAAACACTACAGAGTAGGAGACTGACCCAGGTAACCCCCCATCAGCTTCAGGTACAGCAGGATCTTTACATCACAGTCGGGAGCCCTCCTCTTCAAGGAGCGCAGTGTGATGGCAGCAGCCAGGTCATACACAATTAGCACCACCCAAGGAGGCAGCACTAGGAATGACCTCTGTGCTATACAAGGCTTAGCAAAGCGATTCAACCCAGTGGTGTCTCCAGACAAGATTGCAGCTGGGGCAGCGTCTCGGAGCTACCCCCGTGTGCCTTGCTGCTGCAGTTCTCCATTCGCAGTCTTCCAGGAGGGCTTGTCTTGCTCCTGTGGGGCTCATACTGGGCTGTTCACATGTGCCCAACAGCCTGGAGCAGCGGTGTCCAACCTTTAAGTAGGAGATCACCTTTGGCATTTAAAAGCAACCCAAGATCTACTGTGTGCTGCCCCATCTAGCCCAGCCGGTAAGTCCGTGGAGTGGGAAAGGGGGAGGCAGATCAAGGCAGAAGGAAAAAAAAAATATTTGGGGGCACATCTCCTCAGCAGGTAAGTCCCACGCAGCCAGGGCCCCACTCAACTCATCCCTGCTCCTGCCTCTGTGGCACTGTCGCTCACCGTGGTGGCCTCAATCTAACCCCCACCCCTTCCCTTCCCCATGGACTGACCTGCTGGGCTGGGGTACGTGCATGCACCCAGGCACTCAGCCCCCAACCCCAGCCTCGGATCGACTCCAAGATCTACCAATCCACTGGTTGGTGACCGCCTGTCTAGAGCAATGAAGCAGCTGCTCCAACATGGATCTTGGATCTAGAAGGGAACTCTTCTGGAAGTGGGAAGAAGGCAAATGTTCATTACCCTGAATGTGTGGTCACTTCTTTCCAAAACGGGGCACATCTCTAGTTGCCTGGATGACAGAAAGACCTTTAGTTTCAAACTTTACCTAGATGCTTTGCTATCAAAGAACAAGTCTGGGAACCCACGTCTCCGGCTTCTTTTAAGAGGAAAAACCCAACGGACTCTTTGACCCAGGTTCCTCTCTCCTCCCACTGTAGTAGCTGGCATACAAATGCTTCGATCTATACACATTGACAGCCAATAAAAGAAAAAAAAAAAAAAAGATTTCATTAATTACTTAGCTCCTGGCTGCTAAGGTTTCAGGTTCTGTCCTCAAAGACCTTAAGGATTCACATGCTCCATCACTGACTCATTGGCTAACGTGGGAATAGCAACTCAGCATGTCCACATGTTAATCCATCCCTACCACCGCAGCTCCATATTCTTGTGCATGTGGATTGTGCACGGGAAGCCTGAACAGCGCACACAAGGCGGTACTCAGCAGAAAGACGCTCAGCCAGCAGATATCAATCCAGCACTCACACCCAGCAAGAGCAGAACATGCTGGACTTGTTATTGTGATACAGTTTATTAAATTCCTGAGAGAGGATATTCCACTACAGCCAGGCTCCGTGGCACCATATAATAAGTATGCTCCACATTTATGACTAAAAAGATTTGTTGACACCCCGAACGCTCACCAATCCAGGTCAGACACGGGCTTCAGCAAGCTGCACATGGAAACTGCAAGAGGAGCATCTGATAAAGAGCCTGATTTTCCTGTGCCATCCTCACAACTGCAAGACATCATACCCTGCTGGTTCACAAGGGGAAATCCTTGCCAAGGACAGGGATGTGCTTAACAGAAAGACACAAGCAAGCTTAAAAAAAATAAATAAATAAAACCAAAAAAACCAAACACATGCATGTATGACATACCTAAGGGACGGTGACCAAGGCAGCAGCTCCACATGCCACCTTGAGCGGGGAGGGGGGAGGCAGTGGAGGGGCCACAAAAAATACCTCTGACCACAGTAGCAATCAGTTGTGCCACTGCGATTGGCATGCAGCAGCTGGCATTGCCCCAGACATTGCAAGGTTGCCAAGGGCACAGAGCTGTCCAGCTACACCTCTGAGCATGCCACGTTGGTGCAGGCTCCAAGGAGTGAGCTCGCTCACTTTGGACAAGAGGTGCTGGGTTGTTTTTCAGTCTGCAACATGATCCAGTGGAGGGTGGACAGCTCAGAATCACAAGCGTTAATGGCTGTTTTATCCAGTTGCTGTTGTGCTCATTTAGAAAAGATTTTAAATCCCATTGTAGAAGTACAGGCTCCTAATGACATCCTGGGTTACAGCTATTCAGGTCATGTCACAAGCAATAGGGAACACTCTCGCCTACGTACTCTGCGTCTACAGTACTGGAACACCAGCCCTGCAGTACCTCCCTGCAAGTTGTAAGAAATCCCCAGTCTCTGAAGTATTTATCCTCACCACACCCTGGTGAGCTAAGACTGCCATTTCTGCCCATTTTACAGACAGGAAACTGAGGCACAGAGAGACCAAGGCCCAGATCCACAAAAGGTATGTAAGCACCTTGCTCCCAGTGACTTGAGTATGAGCTCATCATCTACATAGTTTTGCAGATCTGACCGTAAGCTGCTGGCTCAGTGTCACACTGGACGATTGTGGTAGGCCTGGAGTTCAGCACTCATTCCGTCATCCATTTGATTCCCCGCCCTGCCCCCCACATGCTTACATGCACACACTGCATCCATGGGCATCCCCCCATATCCTTCCCAAAAAGCACTTTTCTATCAGAACATATTCCATATTGCACAGCACAGCGGCTTGTCCACCAGTGACAAGCCCCGCGTGAAGGAAAAGGCCACAACCATAACAGCGCAGTAGGGAATGGCACACAAGGGAGTTAATAGACCAAAACCACTCTTCGGTGTGCTAAAACAAAACCCTCCAAGAAACTTTCCTGTCTATGCTAAAAGTCCCATCTCAGCATTCATCTCCTGTAATCCTAGGAGAGATTTTAGCCCGAAGCCCAGATGCATATCTGAGCACCATCAAAACCTGACATTTTGGATCTTCCATTTCGGATCTCAGGCCCATCCCAACAAAATGGGTCTCTTCAGCGTGTTTTTGGGTGCAGCAGCTGCATGGCAGACGGTTTTCTTGGCTCCATAGGACTCGAAGGGCAGTTTAGGGTCATATCCACCAAATCACCATGACCACAAGCTGAGCACATCAGAGCCCAGGCTCAGTTTCAGGATTGCTTCATGGATGTCCGTAATAGTCTTGCTCAACTCCACACATTCTTCAGGAGCTTTGGCCCACTGCTGAAGAGGGAATGCAATATCGGTGCTGCAGCAAAGACTGCTGTAACAGCCCAGCCCAAATAAATCGAGCAGGGCTTCTCAACATCAACCCAGCGTCTGGTGTAGCTGTTGGATTAGGTGCACCTCTATACAGAGGGCCAGCTCCAAACCAATTGCACCACTTAGGGGTGTATAACATGTGTGCAGACTTTCCCCCCGCTTGTTGCACTTAGGGGTGTATAACATGTGTGCAGACTTTCCCCCCCTTGTCGCACTTATGGGGCTCACACTCCCTTTAGGCTGCTGTTGGAGGATTTTTTAATATGTATATACTACCTCAAATTTCCAGAGTGAAGCACCAGCCAGGTGTGGCAAAAACCCCTGTGAACAAGTTTTTGGAAGCTCCAAGGTTTCGAAATGCTATTAGGAGCCGCTCTTTCACCTACTTTTTTCAACCCCACGTACAGAGAAAAAGTGATGCCTCCATTTCATATTATGTAAGTTTTATTTTATGTAAGATGATGGCCTTTGGCCAAGCCTCCCCTGGCTGCCATCTCATCAGATCGCAAACCTCAACAGGCTCGGGCCTGCTCAGGACTTGCAGGGGAGACCTGAGGAAAACCCAGGTGGTGCAGGAAATGGGGTTGGCGATTCAGTAGGTGGCCCTTGCTCCTCTGAGTCAGCACTGAGCATGAGCAACCGAATCCAGCATGCAGCTGGTAGTGCTGCCTGTTAAAGCAGCAAACAGAAGAATCTGACTGCTTGTGGTCATTCAAAGACTCCCCGAGCACTGCAAAAACAGAGCAACTCAAATATTCAATGTTAAAGGATTGGGGGGCGGGGGCTAGGGAAAGCTCCAATATACCGAGTAAAAAGCAGTGAGGGAGAGGATAGGCAGAATTGAAGTAAATTCCTGCTTCTCAACACTTCATACTTTTGGTGTAGTTTGAACCCAGATCTGAACTTTGCAGATGGTCTTTTTTGCAGACTTTAAGAGACACCGTAGAAGTCTGCGGTTAAAAAAAAAAAAAAAAGGAGAGAGAAGTAAGCAAGGACAGCAGCAGCTTTATAATTGATCCAACTAGCTTTCACTCATCAGGCAAATCTGTGTAAGTAGTGACTTGATACTCACTTTTCCTATAGTATCATACACCTTCTCCTCTCCTTTTAAGAAGGTACCTCCCAACCTACCTCATTAGCCTTCATTGCAATCAAACCAGAAAGCAGAACCATCTTAGCATTTCATCAGTATTGCATGACACCTATGACTTGAAGATTTGCATTGATCTTTCAGGTTCTTCAGAAAGAACAAGCAAAAAACATCTTTGAGCAAGAAGTGGGAACAGGCCTCCCCAAGGTCTCCACCTATGCTGAAGACTAGGTCTCTTCCATTTTGGATACCAAAAAATAAAATAAAGCCCTCCTGCTCTTTGTAAAAGAAAAAAAAAGCAAACAAAGTCTTTCCAAAACTCTCCCCAATAAAGCTAGTAAGTTCACTACCAAGTCTGTCTCTCTCCATCTCTGTAAATGCATCTCCCTTTGCATTTCACTCCATATACGAGTGCAAAGGGGAAGCTTATGTAGAGTCGTGTCTATACCAGCAGGCCCTGAAGATTTCCCAGTGTTTGAAGATGCATAAGGTATTTAAGGCCCCAATGATCATACATGCACCTGCACAGCAGCACACATTTTCCCACCCAAGGTGGCATTCCCCCATGCCTTCAGAACAAAGATTACATCCATGCACAAGCTGTAGCGTCTCTCAAGCACAAAAACTACTGCCTACATAAAACTTAAGACACAAAGGATTAGAAGGTTTGACACCTATTAGCAGAGGTCTGGAACCTGGTTCAGTAACAAGGCCTCTTTCTTACCTCAGTTAGGGGATAATACTGGTGATAAAACAAGACCTGAAGGGACCTGAGCTGGTGAAAGCTGCCGGAGTGGGAAGCCTGCACTTAAAAAAACAGGTGTTGCTTGACGACTCATTTAATCCAGGGGAGTGTCTGAGGCACAGCTGAAGTCATTACAGCCTCCAGAAACCATCTAAACCAACTGCACTCCTAATGAGCGAAGCTAATTCCTGAACTCACTATTAGTATGAACTGCTAAAATGTGAGGTACTGTTAAAGAAACAGTAAGCTGTGCTGGGTAAAGACAAGACAGCCGCTACAATCAACGCCCTTGTCCACATTACATCTCTAGAAGAGTCACGGTGCCTGGTTATGGCCTAGGCAAAAGCCGTAACACAGGCTGCCTGTCCCCCCAGTCAGATGAAAATCCTGGTTTATACCTATTATCAGGGCACATCAAGGATCCATCTACACTACAACTTCTGCTACACTTTTAGGAGCCTCCGGCTCAAGAGCCTCAGGAGCCTTGTCCTAGTTCAACCCTGTTTCAAGAAGACACTTAAGCACGTGGTACATGCTTGAGACTTGGAGGCCCAATGTGAGACACCCATCTTAAGGTAGGGTGCTGAGCACCGATTGGAAATCCGGCCCTTCAAAAGGTACCGTAAGGATGCCTAACAAAAGATAGAGTCAGGCATTCGGACTCACAAGTCACTTTTGACAATTTAGGATCTAGTTTCCTGTTCTAATTACTAGACCATTCTGTTTCCATCACGGACTATCTTATAAACGGCTAATTACTTTTTCTGAAGGCTGGCTTTCGTGGTAAACTGCTTACCACATCCTCCTTTTCCTCTTCTGTTTTTCCTCTAAATCTGCATTTTTTCTACAAAAAGTTTCCCCATGTGTAATGTTATTTGGGGAAATTACAGATTCTTAATTCGTTCAGAGAATGTAATTTATGTGGATTATTGCTGCATTTCTAATGTGCCTCATGGCAGAGGGAAGGATGCCACTGTGTTCCTCTGCGTTCTGCCCCTGATAAAATAATTAGAATAAAATTTATGAAAAACCAGTCTAAAAAATGTGGGCTCCTGAACCCAAAACAGTCAAGTTCTGGAGCTTTGTTTTCCACCACAATCCACCCTGATTAGTAAAAAACTGTCCAAGGTGCATGGTAAAATGGTATGACATGTATATGTCTTTGTGGCTTGGATCAAAGATTATGGGCAGGAATGTTGTTGATCAGATGAGCTATTCGGAGAATGTGTCACAGCGTTGCTTACAAGAAAGACCTGTTCAAGGAATTTGGCTAAGAGGTTGCTCGCCAATGGAAAGGAAAAATTAATTTTTGTGGCTAGTGCCTTACACAATAACAGCACATTGGAAGCAGCTGGTCCATGGTCCAACCTAGGAAGAAATAAGTATATCCAACAAATACAACATGGCACACAACTGTGAAAAAATAAGAGGGAGAGAACTAAAGGAAGCAATTTGTATAGGGTGTGCATTACTACCAATAAATTGCTTAATAATCCTATTCCAGAATAGGCCCAAGGTTATTTCTGCAGAAGATCATCTACACTCATCTGCATAATCATGCATCGTTTTGAATTGGGCTGCAGCAACGACAATGACCAGAAATGCTCCTATAAGGCATATGCAAAATAAACGTACAAGCGCTAGGATTCAATGTGCTGCACTTTTAAGTAAGGGTCTAAATTTTAGAGAACAATCCGCACATACCTGCATGCATGAGGAAATTCTCAAAAGCAGGTTTGTGGACACAGTAAGCGCACATAGCTCACCATGAAACTGAGCCTCATACCCAAAAGGAAATCACAAACCGCTTACAGAGACTCCTTATGAAGATCCTGAGCTGACGAGGAGCAAACATATCTTACAGCTTTGGGATTTGTGAGAGGTGAAGGCATCGCTGTCCCCTCTCGTGCCATTCTTTAAAACAAAACAAAAAAAACAAAAAGTTGAAAGTTCTGAGAAAAAAAAATTGAGATCACCCATCCCAAATTGAAAGATAAATAAGGAAGCATTTTGCAGAACTTGTCCCTCACTTGTAGTTCCACTATTCTAATATAGCATTTTGAACCAGTATTGTAGCATGCTTATATAGTACTAATACCCAAAGTCCTTAACCCATGAGAACCATGTTGTACTTGGCTATAGACAGATGCGCTGGGAAATGCAAACTCTGCCGGGAGTAGATTATACTCTTAAGAGTGTAACGCTCAGAAAAAGGAGAAGGAAAATGTTACAAGCAGCAAGCAAAGCAGTCACTAGATAAGTTAGTCCTGTTTTTAAAAAAAATATTATAAATCCATTTTATTGGTGTTACAAAAGTACTAGGGAAGATGCAGGAATCACTTGAGCAAGAGGCACAGAGGGAAGGAGATGAAGCTAGGTGCTGTTTGACAGCCTAAAGGTTGTACTGAAGGAAGACCATTGCTGAACAAGAGTAAAGCAAATGAAGGGGAGAGAGAAACTCCACGGATCAGACTTGAGTACTTAAGAACTCACGAGATTTTCAAGCCCAATACATCAAGGGGCTTAGGTGCTTGGCTCAAGCCAATACTGATGGATGAGCAGAGCAAATTGAAAGGTTTGGGACCATTTCCCCGCCCCCCTCACTCAGATAATGCCGATTCAACAAATCAAAACACAAAGTGAGAACGCATGGTTTTGAAATGTTCAGTGCGAAATTTATATAAACAATAGAAGAACTGAAACTTTCATTTTAAGAAGCTGAAATAATGTTTTGCCTTTATTTACATATCTTCATAAGGTCCAAACCATTTTTATTTTTTTGGAACACTTTCAAAAATTGTACCCTCGGAGATGTAGCAATTTTCAAGTCTCAAGATTCTGGGTGGTTTTTGAAAACCACCTCAGAGCATATTTATATTTCTATGTATATAAAAGCCAGGAATGGAAATTTTTGACCCAAGAGGGAAAAGAAGAAAAAAAAAAAAATCTGAGCATCTGAAAAGAAAAGGAAGGCCTGAATGTCAACTTTTCTGGTGTTGTTTTGTTAGCTGCCTCAAAATTATTGCTTAGCTTGCTATGGAAGTCACTACAAACTTGCAAGTTTCTTGGACATTAATAATTTTGGGTGACAGATGAGTTCAGATCATGCAGTTTAATCGTGCTGTTGAGTGACTCTAGGGAAGATGTTCTTGTACTATGCTATTGGGACAGCTCGTTTGGATATCGAGCTTCAAATAATGAATCTGAAATGTACAGTTCAGCAGAAGCATTAAGGTAATGGAAACTCAACTTTTCTAATGTTCCAACATATAAATAGAACACCAGTCAGGACACTAGACAATTGACTGGCTTTGCTCAAATGCACGCAGGAATAAATGGAAACATCCTTATTTCCTATCCCAGGGGGCAATTATTTCAGAGCCTGGCTTTGTGCATTAATAAAAAGCAAGATTCTATTGTCTGGTAGCAAAAGTAACTTACTGTACCAGGAGTGCAGCGCTGCAGAAGAAAACTAAACCCTACTTCGAACAGTTCTTCCAGCCCTAGCCATAAATACACATTTAATTCAACTTCCTATCGGCTGCATCAGCACTCACCTGCTCAGAAGGGGAAAACAAGAATTTTCAAATGTCAGAGCATTTGGGAAAAAAACAGTAGAATAAGTCTAAAGATTTGAATTTCCACATGCATTCAGGAGAAGCGGCTTGCTTTAGTCCTTTCATGTCTTTATACCTCCATTTCAGTCCCATGACAGTGGGTCAGGAAAAGTAAACTCGCTTGCGCTTTGGAAAAAGTGGTAGGAAAGGATTGGATGCTGGTAGCATTTTCTTCCCATCCACTAGAACAAAATGAAAGAATGCCAGAAATACTCTCATCTCAAAAATATTTTTAAAAAATTGAAACAGAAAAGGAACAGAAACAAAAGAAATTCTTTGTGAAGCAATATTTACTTGAAAAGATGTAAAAAGTAACAGGCAAAAAAAACCTTCTCTGCATCTGTACAGGGCCCTACACAGAGGGAGAGCGCGCGAGCACACACACTAACCCCAAGCATTCAAGCCTCGTGAATCATCTCTTCCCTACCCCCTGCCCAACCAAGAAACCCACAATATGCCATAGGATGTTTTTCAAGTAATGCATGAAGAGTTCTTATTTGCTTTATGGTTTTAGATCCTTTAGGGTGCAACCATCCAAGTCCAGTATCATCATCCTTAATTCTAAACCAAATCCTGTGCTATCCAATGATCAAAGCTGGGTGCTGAAATACTGCGTGTGGTATAAATGCTCAGAGACTTGCATGCAAAACTGTTTTAGAAATAGTTTATATAAAGTTTATAGAAAAGAAAGATGGCTTTGTAGTTGAAGCAGCACAGCACAGAGCTGAAGGCTTAGGTGCGGTGCATCCCTCTTCCCCATGCCTTTAGCTCTGCTTGTTGTTTTGAGTAAAATACTTGGCTGATCTCTGCCTCAGTTTCCCCTCTCTGTAAAATGGAGCCAACACCAAATGTCAAATATCCAGTTGCGTGTTCTAGGCATTTGCAAGCATTTATCATTCAAAATAGAGAACGAATCCGATGCATGAGATTACCATAGCATAAAGCAGGAAGGGTCCGATTTTTGTTAGAAGGAAGCCTTAAAATTTGCCTCTAGCTTTCTACTTACATAGGCAGCTGGCAGGATACTGATGGCTTTAAAGAAGAAAGAAAAAAAGAGAAAAAAAAAGAAAGATTCTTGGAGATACATAACTCATTTAATTGAAACCATTAGTTTTACTGGCAGACAGCTTCACATTTCTGTTCTGTTAATCCGAACAAAGTGCTGCAATTATGACTCAATACACAATGTCCTCTAGTGCCACCTCACCCCTTGCTCACATAGTATGGAAAGAAAAAAGAAAAAACTTTTCAGTTAATGAAACATCCAATGCTTCTATCCAGAATACTTTTATTATATGGTTATCATATACATCAGAATTATATTGGAAACATTTACAAATATGTAAAGAGTAGTTCATAACCTCCAGTATTCACATACACACAGTAACTCACACACTCATTTTGCATGTCTAGTCAGTTATCAGGCAAATGATACACAAAATTATTGCTCTGTGAACATACACCTCAGATTAAAATTTAATCTTCAGTGGCAAAAACTGAGAATTAAAAAAAAAAAAAAAAAGTCTTAAATACCCTGTATAACATACCTGTGCATAAACCTAACAATGTATTTAGCTTACCCATTACCTTTGAAATACTTACCAAAATTAAAATTTGAAACCATTTTTATAAAAAAAAAAAAAAAAAAGTATTAAAAAGTTCACCATTATTTACAAATCCGATTAAATTACACATAAATAAATATATACATTCAACACACTGCTTCCCTTAATTCACATAAAGCCTCCCTGGATTCTTTTTTTAGGCCCTAATAAGCAAATATGTTCTCTTTAAAAAAAAAAAAAAAAAAAAAAGTTATGTGCCTATTCTTTCAAGTTTTTTTTTTCCAATTTAAAAGCATGACCCAATATAAATATGCAAATAAAGCTGCAATATCCTTAGACAAAAAACAGATTTTCTAAAAGGATTTTGTTTTCAGTTCCATGTAGTTATTTCTTGTTAAAAAAATATCAAGATGATATCCACCGCAGCCAACATTCCTGCAGTTTTAAAAAGTCTGAATGTTTTCATTAAAAATAAGCCTCGTAATTAAAACAAACATGTCAAATGCCATCAAATAGCTTTTACATCTAAGAGACTTCAATTTTCTCCCATGGTAATCTGAAAATAAAGCAAAACCAGAAGGATCTTGCCATCTTCAGGTATTTATAAAACATTTAGAGTACATAAAAGCTAAAAATCATTGCTTAATACTGCATTATTGTTATCGTTGCATTTAAAAAGAATAAAAACCTGAAATTTCATCCGACAACGAACAGGAGCCAATCTAAAATTTGCATCTTAAACAATATACACGGAGCTAGTCACCACTAGATAGTTAGGTGTTGAAAACTCTCTCTCTCTTTTTGCATATCCATCAATAACATTATAGCACCACTTTTACAGCAAAGGATTTTAATACGTTTGTGCCAGTACTTATCTTCGGTAACCGATTCCACAGTTAAGGGACACTGCAGCTTTAGAAAGGTTTGTCTTATTGATCCGGAGGAGTGGGGGGGAAGGGGAGAGGGGGTGAAGATCCTGAAAAAAGGGCCATTTTCCCCTCCACTCCCCCTTTTTTTCTACCTGCCCCCTAGGCAAGAAGAACTCAGTCTGTGTTTAGAAGGAACGGTTCAAAAGTCTGGTTTCTCTCATTTTACTTCCTGTGCTTATCCATTTTATCAATGGTTTTGTTGGTTTCTGCAGGGCTCTGGTCGCCAGTGTTCATATAGGTTTTGTCTGCTATTTTTAACGCTTCATTTAGGTAGTTCTGGACGGATGTCATGGCAGCACAGATGGCAGCACTCCCAAAGCCATGTGTGATCAGGCTAAAATGAGTCAAACAGCCCTGGATACCAGGGTCCAAGATTGGACTAGGTCTAGTGTTTCCAAGAGGAGTTCTATCCTGAGTGAGGAGGTCTGTGAATTCCTTACAGATCTGCCTGCAAGACATAAGAAGTGTTCACACTTTACACCGGAGCAAGGGTTCCTGCAGGAAGTGCAAGAAGTCCTTTAAGATTTAGCAGGAAGAAAAAGGAAAGTGGGGAGGGGAGGGGGCAGGGAAAAGAGATGCAGGGTCCTTTAAAACAAAACGAACCAGCAGTAATTCGCACTACATAGCAACTAGAAAGATTTTAGAAGTCAGTTACATTTTATGTCATCATCAAGACCCTTGATCTAATTCGAAAAATTAAAGCCTCAGTGTCAGTCTCTGACATCCATTTAACTTTATCTCATATAAATGTGCACACACTTTCCAAAGTGTGATCTTTCCAGGTTTGGTGTCTGGCTGGTTCTGCTTCATTTACTCTTGATTTTTTTAAAATTAATTTAGGGCCAGTTTCTGTGAGAACTTCCACAGCTGCATTTAAGTCATTTGCAATTGATAATACGGCTGAACTGGGGCATTTCATTTAGCTGTGTGCATTATCCACATTTACCCACCTCATTAGAGGCCCTGATCCCATGAATACTTATGCACATGAGCAGCACACACAAATGTTCAATGCGACTACTCAAGCACATGAAGTTACTCCCATGCATTACAGCTCACAGGAGCAGAGTCCTAGATTTTAGATGTGCTTTGTTCTTTTCACGTGAACTGAGGGAAGTTAATGGAATCATCATTATTGGATCAACTGCACAATAATGTGCGGTATTTTGGGGGGAAAAAAGGAAAAAAAAGTTACTCTAGAGTACAAAAATATATACTTGAATAACTAAGTGTGATTTCATATTAGTAGACATAGTATTTTCATTAAGAGGTATATTCCTATGAATTAAGCTTCATCTTGTAGGAAGAATCCAATACTTGTTTGTTTAGTTCTCTCGGATTATAAACCAACCGAGTCATCTCTGAGCCCAGATAACTATAAACCCACTCAAGGCAAAGAAATCCCTTTTGCCGACTCCAGTGGGCTTTGCAGCTGAGCTTAAAATTGCTGCTACACAACACTTAAAAAAAAAAAAAAAAAATCCCCATAAAAACCCAGACAGGTGCACATACAAAAAAAGTATCTTCTTATTCTATAAGAGCCTAGTGCCATATCTATAGATGCTGGCTTTCAGCCTCACTTAATTCTTCAGCACAGTACCACAAGGGCTTATGATAACTCTTGGAACTATAAAACACACGGGGCTCTTCATTTTTAGTAAAGAGCCAAGAACTGGGCTGTATTTTACAATATAAGATTTTTCTGGTCACCGACAGCAGCATCGTAAAAAAAGAAAAAAATTTCTCCAAACTTACTTTGCAGCAAGAAGCATGTTTTTCCTGTTAGCCATCTCGTTACGGCCCAAGTGCGGTCTGGTTAAATATTCAGCCACTGCTTTAGAGGGAAACTCTGTCTCACATACATAGCCAAAGTCACGAGCAAGATGTACTGCTTCACCTGGAACAGGGAGATAAGTGTGCACATTTATTGGATGCAAGAAAACCAGACATTCACCATCAGAAGATTAGAGAAATATATACTAAGTACAAGTACTTAAGTTCCTCCTAGCATGCTCCAATTTAAAGTCATTTATAATGATTCACCCCACTGTTTGTTGTTATTTTCTAATAGACAATAAGTCTCCCTTCCTCAAACTGGACTGGGGAAAATCTGTATACCATGTGCTTTAAAAATAATTGTTTTGGTTGCCTTTGTATCAGAAAACAAGCTGTGGGCTTCTGCATCTAGTTAAGGGTAGGTTTGGCTCTGAACACTCAGAAGGCACACAAAACTGGCAAGAGACCTCCATTTGCGCAAGCAGATTTCTGAAGTTAAATAGACTTTGCACACAAGGTACTATTCACAAATAATCATTTGAATACATATTAAATTGAAAGAAAACAGCAGTATTGTTTTGTCTAATTAAAAAAAAAAAAAAAAAAAAAAAAAAAACTTATTCTAGCAAAAACCCTGAATTTTATTGCGACTTACATGTCAGCAGACACTTTGACTGCAGTACCAATTCTGCTTTCCAAAAGAATTAAAACTAGAAACCAGTACAGTATTTTGAGAAACTGCTCTTCTCAGTCTACACAAAATTAGGTTTAAGTATTCCTACCCCTTAGCAAATCGGTTGAGTGCACACACTCCTGAAGCCAAGCTAGGCTTATCCAGGGCCCACATAACATGTTGCAGATTAAACGAGCTCCGGTTTCCTACCAGGAAGTCAAAAGCTGTAAATCTCACTTTATATGCACGTTTATTAGGAAAGCTTCTGAGGATACCATGGAGGTAGGTCACTCATTGGAGTCAGCTGCTCCTGTGCTTTTAAGTCTCCCAATAGGAAGCCAAAGGACATAGAAATTGAGGAAGTTCACACACTCCCCTACTCAACAAACATGCACACTCCAGCTTCCAGACAAGTTGACGTCCTCACTGAGACTTAAGACCTGCTTGGTATAAAGGAATTCCTTCCTTTATACCCGTCAAGTTCACCACACCGCAAAAAAGACTAGGATATATTTTTCCCCCCATTGAACAAAATGAATAAAAAATGTTTATCTCGTGAATAAAAACTGCACAGTTACTGCTGTTGGAATTAAAACTTACTATTGACAGTTCATAGGGGGGTGAGGGGCAGAGGTGGAACACATTCATATACTTAAAAAAAACCTTTCATAGAGTGTTACTTGCATGGGACACTACATTTGTTCTGAGGATGATCCCAAATAAAAAGGTCTTATTTGCATTAATATGTTGAGAGGTTTAGTAGGCAGCACTGCTTGTTTATTTTCTGGAACTCATTTTCTAAAAGCTTTGTTCTGTCTGGTAGTTTCTAGGCATGCAAAATTAGAAGACATATGCCTAACAGCAACAACAATTTTTTTTAATGAAATGCATCTAAAAACTAACCTTCCACCAAAGATGTCAATAAAGTCACATTTGCAGCTTTCCTTCTACCGGCTGGAAGATTCAAGCCAATTTTATCCAGTTTTTCCCTTAGTGATCTGCCACCATTTTTGGATTTGGCTCTGTAATTAGAGAGAGAAATCATCTAATTTAGCTGGGGGGAAGCACTTATTTTGAAGATGGAAAACTTGAGTTACTAACATGCAATGAGAATCTATTGGGGGAAAAATGAAAACAAGCTCTGTTTTCAAATGACCTACTTTTTAATGCTCTCCTACATACCCGTCAGGCTAAAATAGATCAGAAACACAAGATCAAATGCATTTTGCCTTTAAAACTGCACCATCAAAAAATGGTGGCCGAACAAGGAGCATTATAAGGATTCAATAGTTTACAAAAGTTAAAGGACATAGAGAGTGTCTAAGTGATACATAAAGACAATGATCTAAGACAATTTTACAGGCAAGATTATTTCGCACCGCACTAGGAAAAATAGTCAAAAAAAACAAAAAACAAAAACCTCTTCTTGCCATTTCAAAGATGGAATCAATCAGATTTTAAGCAGAAAGAGAGAGAGAAAATTTGCTGTCAGAACTGTTATAGCACTTCTCTTTGGGAAGTGCCAGAAGTGCAAACAAGGAGTTTTATTTCCAAAGCCTATTAGAATTCAGCGTTATTTTTTATTTTTTTTTAAGTTTCAGAAAATCCTTTAGACAAACAATTCTTCCATCCACTTCTCTGCATGAACCTTGCAAGAAAAATCATTCAACAATATCTATTTTAGTGTAAAAGGTGGGGGGGCAATAGCAGCCTACCTTCTGAGTACGCCTCCCAGCAAAGAGGCGTTTAGGCATTCTGGAGGCGAGAGCCTTCTCTGAACCTCTGCTACTGTCACTTTATATTTAGATGTGGAACTCAGCAGAGAAAGTCTCCCCGGAACAGAACAAAATACTTCATTGGGGTTTATCACCACTCCAATTAATCCATCCTTCTGGCAGGGGAGACCCAGAGCACTGTTTTTCGTTAACGAAATAGGACCTGCAGAAGGAGGTGGGAAAGCAGGCATTTTATACAACGAGGAAGCGACAGTTAAGGTTTCTCTAAAGACATGGAGTCAAACCTTGTTTCACGTTAAATATTCACCAGTGAATCTCACCCTAAATCCTAACCTACAATGCCACCGGTTAGATGGAGCACGCACAGCTACTAACAGGCAATGATTAATGTTGTTCTTGCTGTCCACACAGCACATTTCAAGAAGCTGCTGCATCACAATTAAGAACGTGTCACAATCTTTAAGAAGTCATGTAAAAAGACCACACAAAAAAAGTAACAACAACAACAACAACAACAACTTTAAAAAAAAAAAAAAAACCCAAGGAAAAAACCAAACGAAAAACCCCATTGTGTACCAATGAAACAGTATTCTGAAGTTAACAAATTCAGACGCAGAAGTGGCACAACAAGACTATAAAACTTTATATAGTGGCAGACCATAAGTTATCAACACACCAGAAAACTCCTTCAAAATCAAGAGATAGGGATAGAGGTCCCCCACCCTGCCCAGCCAAGCACAAGCAGCGCAATACAAAGAATGAAATGCCAAAACAGGACAGCATTCTTCCTCCACTTTCACAGCTGAGAGACCAGCCTCTCCCTTGAATTCAACTCTTCTCCAAATATTGCAATAAAAGACGCGTATCCAGCTGAGACCAGAACCGAGAGCAAGACCGCTTGTGTTTAAAGGCGCCATTCTAAATCCCAAGCAGGGATACCATATTTTCCAGAGACTCGCACCAGAATTAATGTAGCAACATACTGAAATCCTGCCCAGCTAGCTGCTCAGCAATTAAATCATTCCAATGGGCAATTAATACGAGCAAGAGTTAAAACAGCAAAGCCTGCCCATATTTACTACATGCAGGGACACTTGGGGGGGGGATGTATCCGACAGCAAAACAGTTCTTCCATGAGCTAATTCAGCCATCAGAGCTTCTGACAAGTGCTTCTCCTTTTCCTCAGATACTTATTTGTTTTAAGTCCCCTTGAGAGGAAGCTTGCCCTGGTTTTTAAAGGGCCACTTGGCTGGCCAGCAGCAAGAAAAGAAAGCCAAGGCTTGCCAGCCAAGTCAAGGTGTTTTTAAGCCTGGTTCAAGCAGCAGTTACCAAGTGATTTCTAGGGTCGCTGATGACAGTGGCTCTCCCCCAGATAAACTCCCTGCAAGCTGCTCCCCCAGCAAGCCTTGGCCCGGCGGGGAAGAGGCAAGGCGCTGGGAGAACAGAGATGTCCTTGGTTGCCCCAATGCTGTCGCTCCCCCACACAGTAAGACTGATAGCAAGAGCGAACGGCCTGCTCTCCCTCTGCACGGCTGGGAGCATCCCAGGGACTTGCTGGCAAGCAGCTCCTGGTTTGGCCCGCGCCTTTGTCACCCGCATCAAGCCTTCCTCTAGCTTTCCCACACTCCTTCCTGCTGCAGTCACTGGGGACTGCTGGAATCTAGACCCCCTCCTTCGCTCCCAGCAGTGACGCGCAGGCCTCCTGCCGTGGAGAGGCTCTTAAATAAATGCACTAGGGAATCCTGCCCGACGCCACAGCAAGGCCAAAGTAGAGGGAAGCAAAAAGTGCCTACTGACCTTTTCTAATGACTGTCTGGTCATGCATTAGCAAGTGTTGGTCTTCCACGTTCTGCGGAAAGAAGTACAGGTCCTTTAGAGCGGGCGAGGCTGGGATCTGCCC